CCCCTTAAGTAGATAGAATATAGCGGTAATATTGGGATAATGGAAAAGAAAATGGAAACTACTATTTAGGGTTTAGGGAAGTAGATAGAATATGGGGTAGATGGGTATCTTTTTGTTAAGATACCCAAAGCCTTATTCTATCTATTTAGTGGAACTGTATGTTGATACTACCAAGACGGGCAGACTCCGGATCTGCGGTGGAACGGGACTCCATCTGACCATCCCGAAAGAACCAGGCAAAGGACTCTGACTCTGGTGCTTCTGATGCAGAGGACTCCAGCAGCGGCTGCCTGCAGAGCTCCAGGTGTGGCTACAGGACACGGGCAACAGCAAATCCAAGCCCTGCATGACCACAAGCTACCAGTACAACATGGCGTGGGAGGCAGCCACAGCGCACCTTAATGCCTGATCCGCTGGCAGCTCGGGATCAACCTTTGGTTGGCTGGGCTCCCTGGCAGGACCTGCCAGCTTCAGGGCAAATATCTCTCAAAAACCTTGCGCGGCGGCGAGGGTCTGCGTGTCTAGGCACTGGCTGGGAGTGATGCACTGGACTTGACGCACGATGAGTCTACCAATGTGCTGGCCTTCTGGTGGATCCATGATGCTAGCCCATGTCTGTGAGGACTAGCAGTCACGTGTACGGATGTTTGCTTGGTTCGCATGGCAGGAAATTGCCATGCCGCTGACACATGCCCGCACCTTGCAGGATGTAAGCCTGATGCATGCTTCATTTGGGCAGCACTTTGCCTCATGATGCCTGGGTACTTCCATGATGGCCGCCGGGCCCGACTTTTGAGCCAGCACTGTCCAGGGTGGATTTGGGGGCACCTGTGGCTTCAAACAGCAATCGTCAAAGATGTAGTCCGAAAGTCTGCAAAAACTCCAAAGAATCATGCCAGTCTGCCCTCAGACGTGAAAATGAGGCCCACCTGTCCGCGGTCTTCCGGGACGGGCATCCTGTATCCTGCCATTGTCGAAGCATTGCGAACATTGGTTAAGTAGAGGCTCGATGTCCAGCAGGTGTGCTATCACAAGTTCAGACGTGACAAAACTTTCTCAAGGTCTATATAACTGCCCTGCAAAGTGCACTCCTTAGATGTTGCGAAGCTTCAAGTAGCAAAACGCTCCAATGCGGCCGATAACATGGAGTAGGGCCTTGCCGAAGACTGTTGCACGCCTGTCTTCTGTTTAAGGCAATCGCCCGCGGCATCAGCACCCTTTCTCATTTCCACGCTGGTGTTCGGCCAGTGAAACAGGCCCTCACTGCGGGCTTTGGCAGCGCGCCAAAGTTTGGGGCTTCTATTTCCCTTCTGCTTCGATCATGCCTGCCCAAATATATGGGGGCTTCAGCATGTCACCTTCGGGCTTCGTCGGGAAGGGATCGTGAAGCCTTCGCTTGCACTGCAGAAGGGACATGCACCGGAAACCTGCCCTGCACCGCTGCGTGCAGGTGTGTTGCAATTGGATGACACGCACATGGAGATGTCCAAACACCCCGAGTGCAGCCAGGAAGCAGCTCAAACCTGGGGATGCTGCGCAATGTCTTCTAAGTCATGCGGCAGTCGCAGTCTGATGCACACAGGCTTCAAGATGCCGTTGGAGCTAAGAGTTCGATTCCCGCTTAACACGCGGACATATGCCTCCAAGTTGCCCCTTCTCACAAGCGCGCGCAACGACGACATGACCGTGGTCACCACGCGGAGATGTTCCGCGCAGCACACAGAGTCTGCCCGAACCTTGTGGCTCAGGAAATCAGAATTACCAAGTCTTTGGTCTGCAGTCAACAATATGTGCAACTCTTGGCCCCAACAGTCGGAAACTTCTTGGGCGCTGACAACCTGCGGCGGCATCTGCAGGGAGCTGTCCGTCCTCCTTGCCGCATGAATTCTTGATTACTTTTGGGTCAGCTTCCCTGTGATCCCATGCCGATCCAGCAGAATCTTTCGCCAGGTCATAGTCTGCGTAGCCAGCCAAGTCTGACACGCCTTGTCCTGAGATGCCATATGGTCGCCCTGGAAGTTTTTGGGTGAGGGGTCCAAAACGAATGACTAGGCAAATCCACATCGATACATCGGGCATAATTGCTAGAAGCGAGCTAGCACTATGCCAGCTCCTCAACAGGAATTTCATTGATCCTTATGGGGGCCGCCTCATAGCGAAATTCAACAACTATCACTAACTATCTCAATCTAAGGTTCGTGTGTGCTCTGCTTTGCACTTGTCCTACCAGCCCTTTTGACGGCTGGCCATATGATGACCGATCAGCAGCACACTTCAGCGAATCTGAAGGAAACAAGAGCCACCGAAACACGCAGGAAGCTGAAGCCGCGACTCATACCCAGCCGGGTCTTCCAAAAAGTTTGGAACATCCTCAAGTGGCCGGCGCACCTCACATTCATGCGGGACTTCTGAGCAAGAGTCAACCAGTGCCACTGCAAACACGTGTGCTTCAGTAAAACAAGTACAGAACACAATAAAAAGACAGATGGTAGCAAAAGGGTTGTTCAACAGCAACAAGAACAGAAAACGTACAAGTCAAAGATCAACAACAGGCCAAGTTATGGCAGTAGCGTCCTTCAATGTCTGGCCTAGCCAGAGACTGACAACCAAGAACAGCACGATCAAGGACCCAGGCACAATGGAGGCCACAGCTGCCTGGAGGGCATTGCCCGCGCCGGCTGAAAAGATTGTTTGCTGTACCTCTGCTATTTCAAATGACATCAGCATTGTGAAGCAAGCAACGCCCCTTACAGTAAGCATAATCATTGCAATGTCAGCAGGAACCATCGTGAGAACTGCGTAGGCAACGGCAAGAATGATCCCAACAGCCATGATCAAGCCCGCAAGTAATTCTCTTCATACCGATATACGTGTATGCTATGGAGGGCTGAAGATGGGAAGCACTGATCCTGGGTCGCCAAGACACTTCGTCGTAGTCCTTCTCTGATGCCATAACAAGCCGCAGTTTCCAGTCACGTAAAGACTTGGACCAACTAGGGGCTAAGCCAAAACGATGCTTGGGCTGAAGGCCAGCATGTCTGTTTCCGGTCCCGTGCGCAGTTGTTAGGTCTGCCTACTCAGGTTTGCTTGTATGTTTGCCGACTGATGCAAGTTTTGAGCCTCATGAGGCTGCATTTTGAAACCAGAAGCACTAAGGTCGAAAGCCCATGCGCAAGGCGTCAATGCAGCCACTTCTCTCTCGGTAATTGTACTCTCTCTTGTTGGGCCTTTTCTGCATTAGGCCTGGCTGAGGACGTGTTACAGCTCATGGCTGAAATCGCCCGTTAGTTAAATTAAAACTTGGCGGGCTCCTGGGGCTGGGCGCTTGGAAGCTCTGAACTCGTAGCCGTCATGCGATCCAGCCCAGAAAGGCTGTAATGCCGCGCTTCTCACCAAGCAAAACTTGCATTCACAGAGATGAGGCGGGATGCCCAAAGCTTTATTCCGGCCAAATTCTCGTGATTTGGCCGCTCTGGAACTACCAGCATCAACGTTAATGTAACGATTTAAGGCAAAACAGGCAGGTGGCCGTTGGACAACAGACACGTGCCCTCCAAATTCATCTTCAACAGCCCAGCCAGCACACAGCTTCGAAGGAAGTGCAAGGCGGGCTGCGATCATGCATTGGAAAAACTTGTTTGTCATCAGCTTTGCACCTCACCCTGGGTGCTGCTGAGTCCTCAGGATGTCGCATCTTCTACCAAAAAGGTGTGCTGCAAAGTTACTGCAGCAAGCTTGTTGTTGCAGAGGTTTCGACGGAAAGTTGTGCCATAGGCTTTTCACCCCAAACGAATCGTCTGATAAACAATAACCTAATGCGATCTTTCGTTCAGGCATTGCAGCTTGCAACACACACGTTTCATGTTGGCTAGCTGTCTTGAAACCTTCAGTAGCCAACTCGCTGCATGCGACATCGATCCAGGAACGGGGATGGTTTCGTTCGAACCTAGCTTCTTTTGTTCGGTTCCTTTGCAAGTCTTCGGTTCCTTTGCAAGATGACCGTGAAAGTTCCATGATGTTGTGGATTTCAATGGGGGCACTTAGGAAAGCAGATGTTAGGATTTGTAGTTTTGGCTTGGCTTTGTTTGCCTTGGCTTGGATATTCACCAGAAAGCAAAGTCAGTGGAAAGCAGTCAACTGAACACCAGCAGGGAAAACATTGAACATGATTATGGGCAAGCATATCAGCATATGCAACTAGACGAGTGATTATGGGCCCTGCCTTCAAGGCAAAAGCGTTGTCTCTGGAAAGGTTGGCGTCTCCGGCAAGACCGACCAATCCGAGGTTTCGCCTCATCATGAAGTTGGCTGTTGTCAAAAATCATGGCCGCTCTTTGGATTCTGAACATTACCAGACAAAACTGGAACACTGCAGTTGAGGGGCGAATCTGTTGCCTTTGCTGCAGTCGCAGCGCACTTCCACGCGAGATGCAGGTGGGCTTGGCCCTTGTCGTTGGCTTCTCGGTCACGTTCTTGATTCCCTTCCTTAGCAAGGCACGACTTGTTCAAACATACATCTTGGTCATCAGCAGATGACGACATATGAGCCATAGTCTAAACTCCTAGTATCCACCTTAATCATCCCTATAGTAGTCCCCTATATAATCCCCTATATAATCCCCTTCAAGGAGTTTAGACTATAGCCCATATGGTAGCATTGACACTTGACACTTCATGAACAGAGTGAGAAGGGAAGCCAGCTTTCGGAGCGGGGCCAGACACTTGGAGAAGCTTTCCAAGAAGTACAGTACCTTCTCCTGTGGATGAATACGCTGAGTCTCTTGAACTGCTCCTTCAAGGCGAAGTAGCTATCCTTGCCACCAATGACCCGCAAGCACAGCAGATCTAATTCCATTATCATGGTCCAACAGTGAGAGGGGTTGCTGTGAAGGAACTTAATCTAAGTCTCTTTCTTGAGGGAACCTTATTATATACTATGTATATACCCATGAGGGTACTTAACAGCAGCCTAGCCAGTGGTGAGGGTCTCGAGAAGGCCAAGGCTCCGTGAGTTTGATGTCGTTCTGGCCTTTCCTGGGCTGCAGTTGAGGAACTTATTTAAGTTTCCATAATCGGTACATATAGTCATTAATACGGCTTCCCCAATACAGTATCTTAAAATAAGTTCCTTAACAGCAACCCAGTTTCAGGAAGCCCGGGGTGATCACAAGGCCAAACCTGCGCGACGGCTGGGCCAACATGTAAGCTGCTGTTCGAACAGGCATTGAAAATCCTACTCTGCTCTCCCCTCCACGTGAAAACATCATCTCCACAAAACATCAGGGATGAAATGGGCTGGGGTGATATCTAGTGTGCCTACATGTGCCAACCAGAAGAGTGGCTCGTTGTTCTCCATGGAGAATTCGAAGGCAACTGCGCCGCTCACCTTGTATAATGATAAGTATATTCTAGTAATAACAGCAATAAATAGTAACAAGAATGATGGTAATAGTGATAATTAGTATACTTCTGGTCAGGTCCGAGGTCCTTGCTTCCCTGATCTGCACTCTGATTTGGTCTCGAGACCCGCTCTCAGAAGGCATGAAACTAGAGTTGCTGAAAATAACCACAATATCCTATAGTAGTTTCCATTTTATTTTCCATTATCCCAAAATACCCAAATATAACCGAATGCTGTCGCAACACGAAGTCGCTCATCTTGTCGAGCATAACGGACCTGAACCGCGGAATGCTTGGCGGGACCCTTGAGGTGGCCCTAGCTTTGCAGCTTTAAAATGAGCTAGTAGTAATGGAGAATCAAGTGGAGAAGAAAATGGTTAATGAAATGGAAACTGTGATTATTTGGGGGGTTGTAGGGGTTATAATCTAAATTCCTAGTATCCCCCTTAGTAGGCCCTAGAGATCCCTAGGGTACCTCCCTGTATCATCCCCCCTCTCCAGGTGTTTAGATTTTAGCTCAAATGATTTTTGGATGCTGCCAAGGCTCACTTGAGGCCAGGTGCGGCCGCCGCGGTAATCAGGGCACTCCCACCTTAGCTGGGGAATTTAGGGTTTAGGGTTTGGGAGACCCCAGACCCTAAGCCCTAAACCCTAAAGCCTATAGTCCCCCTTAAGCAGATAGAATATGGGGTATATGGGGATCTTATTTTAATATACCCAAAGCCATGTTCCATCTACTTAAGGGGGACTATACCTTTAACATAGGGGGTATATGGGGACATATTGGGCTTAGCGTTCGGGGCTTCCCAAAATTAGGAGTACCTTTAAGGGGGGACATAGGGGTCCCATAGGCATATATAAGGGCTGACCAGAAATAGGAGTACCTTTAACATAGGGGTTATATAGGGATATATAGGGTTTAAGCCATGGGGTTTCCCAAAATTAGGAATACCTTTAAGGGGGGACATAGGGCTTGCAAAGGAATATATATGATTCAGGGTTTAGGGTTCAGGGGTTTCCCAACATTAGGGGTACCTTTTCGGGGGTCCCAATAATGGGACTATAGTATTCGGGGGTCTATATTCACAGCCTTACCAGCTGGGACTGAAGGAATGGAAACGACTATAATGGGCTGTATAGGGACGACTATAAGCATCCATAAGCAACTACACCACTCACTCTTACGCTGGGAATTACAGCTCTGAAAGCACTGAACTTGTCCACATGCTCGGGCGGGCGCTTGAAGCTTCCGATATTGCAGCCGAACTCCGTGAACAGGAAGGGCTTTGAAAAGGACGCGAAGTGGCGTACGATGTCCTGGTACGGAGAGTACTGGAAATTCGCAGCCCCTTGGTTTCCACGTCATGCAACACTGTGAAATGAAGGTCCTGCGTTGAAAGTTAAGGGAGCTCTGAAGAATGCAATTTGAAGAATGCAATTTCCAAACACAGTAAACTCCAATGCATTGCTTGCCCAGGTTCCAGTCCCGTCAACATACTCTGGGTCACCTGTGCAGGGGAAGAGGACATCAATCGAATGGGGGACATGCGATTCTCAGTGCTGTTGCGCTACACCAGGAGTACACGTTGAGCCCGAAAGCGTCCACGGCATCATCTGGGCTCTCCAGCTCCTGACTTTAGAACTTTAGAATTGGGATAACAACAACAATAGAATCATAGCAGTAACAATAGCAATTCTAAGATGTTGTAATAGTAACAATAACACTACTAGGCACTAGTAATATTATTGTTGCTATTACAACAGAATAGAACTGTTACTAGTGGAGGCTAAGCTTGTGACTTGTCACCTTCCGTCGTTGCACTTACTTGCCGGCCAGCACGCATGAATCCTGGATACCAAGAACTCCCGTCACTCTCACCTTGTTGACAGTACTCATAAACAGTGGTCCAACATTCGGCCAAAGGGTAAACTAGCATGTTGCGGCAAATTAGCCCTGGTCTACTCGGGAGACTCCATTTAGCGCTTCGGCCCGATTATTGTAGCAAGCCCTTCTTCAGCCCTCAATGGTCACAAATCCCTAAACTCTCAGCAACATTGCATACAGTGCTCGCAGGTCAAGTACTCCGCGATGTCCAAGCGGACTTGGCCGCCTTGATCCTTGTTGGAGTAGATCAGCGGAACTTTGCGATATCCTGGCTGACCCTGGATTGCTACTTGCGCCTACTTCCGGACAATGCTATGAATGCTCAGTCAACTCCAGCACACTTCCCTCCGAGCTCCTTCGGCTTTCTGATAGCGGTGCATATCCCTGGTGAGAGCCTTCACGCAAGGGTAGGCAGCATAGCCCTGTCCTCAGAGCAGCAGATCTTATCACAATAGCAAAGATGCCCCATCAATCACCACACCTGGGTTCGTGTTCCGTATATTGTCCTGGACCCTCATCGTATAGATTCCATTCAGACATCCTTCTGAACCTCTGAGAAAAAAACAACAGAAAATCTGGCAAGACGTCCAACTAAAGAATGCTTTTAAAACTTTTCATGAGCTGCGATCCAGGTGATCGATCTCATTGCCAACCACAAACATAAACGTGTTCCTCGGCGCGGCACTTCAGAGAACGACAAAAGAAAATTGAAACTACTATGGTATATTGGTGTTGCATAGGGATAATGAAAAAGAAATGGAAACTACTTTAGTATATTGGGATTTTATAGGGATAATGGAAAAGAAAATGGAAACTACATAGCACGTTGGGGTCCTATTGGGATAATGGAAAAGAAAGTGGAAACTACGAATGAATGATGGCACCACATGCAGCAACTCGAAAAACACCATGTCACAAGTGTCCTTCAGCGATAGCATCATAGCTGCAAAAGAGAAAACAACATTGCCCCACGTGGCTATAGTGTATTATAGTATACTATTGCACATTATAGAATACTATAATTTCGTATGGTATATTGGGGTAGTTCTTGCCCGCAAAGCATCTCGTACTGGCTGAACTGGTCCACAATAAGCTTGGCCTCAAAAAGGCAAGGAGGGTTCACATCATGAACGGGTGTCGGCCAAGAAGTTCAGTGCCGAATGCCAGGGATATCTCTGACTGACCCTCTGGGAAATTAAGAGTGATCATATTAGCAATAAGAATAATAGTACTAATAGTACGTAGTAATAATGATAGTAATAGTAATTTCTAAAGATATTTAGGGGAAGCAAGCCTGGCCCCGGAACTTGCAGTTCCGAGCTGCAGAAGTGAGCAGATTCAAGCCAACATGGCCGTAGTCGGGAAGGTCCTGCAAACAGCGGCTCTAAAGCTGCGGAAACAGCTCAGCCAAGCTGAGCTCGGTGGTTATCAAACCAAAACATCCAGACAGTTTGACTAGGGCATGAAGCCGTTCGCAAACGTGCCGCTGCTCCTCAAAATAGCACTGCGGTGAGGGCAGTGCTGGCAGGAAACCTGAGGTATGTTATATCATATTATACTATAATGTAACATATGAAACTACAATATACTATATAAGTATATAACAATACTGTTCATGGGTGGGCTGTGGCAGTTACTGATGTCTGGCACAGGGCTAGTTGTGCTGCTTTGTGCGGGTAGTGCGTCTCATCTCTAGTTTTGTTTCTTCACTCGATCGTCATCCTTAAGAACTACTGCAGGATGGAAAAGGCTCTCGAACGCCACCTTTGCAAGTATGCATAGTGTATTACAATGAAATATGGTATTTTGAAAATTATATATTCTAGTATAAACATAGCATATAATAATTTAATATACCATATCTTAATATTATACAACCAATTTCCTATGCGCAGAAGTGCAAGCTATTGTCCAGCCAAACGACCCCAGTCACCACGTGTCAAGGGGACCATGACGTACAGGCCCAGCGAAGCGGCCTGCTCCATGAACTTGCCTTGGCAACGAATCATCGACTCTGGCATAGAGATACGGCTCTGTATAGGCTAGCAGAAAGATTGCCCACATGTTCCCAACTTCTTCCATATGTAAAGATGCAGCCATGTGCTTCTGTAAAAGGCTCCCACCAACAGTCGACGTCACACCAACAGTCGACCTGCACTTTGAAGTCGAGATGCGGTGCGACTTTTCTGGATCAATGTTGTAGAGCCGAATCACCTGTCTAGGAAACAGCCAGCCCAAGCGACTTTGAGGCAGCTGGCGTGACACACAATTTATGAACCCAGGCTCCATTTCATGTTAATGTTCTTTGCATTTGATCCTTGGTTATTCTAACCCTAAATCTAAACCTTCGACATCCTCAAACCCTTAATCAGAAAGGCGGTAACCGCCATAAGTGCTTGTGTGGCTCTGCTCCCGAGCCGAAGCTTCTGCACAGGCTTCTGTCTTGTCTTGAGTGCGCTGCTCGTTGACATTGATCGTGTCTAGCAACTAGTGTCTAGTATCCAGCTAAGCTGCATTTGCTCCAAGACCTGCAATGAGGGGCAAATAGTCTTTGAACTGCTCTTCCATGTCCTCAGCTTTTTCCACCAGGCCTACAGGTGCAGACCACAGCTTTGGATTAGCAAGTGCCGACCAAGCTCATCTGCAGCAGGATCCGCATAGTATGCAAGTTGCGGAAACTTGGGCCGACCTGCCCAAGTGCTTTGGATGCTCGAAACGTTGATCACACAGGTCACACTATGGTCAGGTGGTATGATGGGTGCATCGCGTGGGCTTTCTAGATCTTGTGGGTTCCTCTCGGCTTTCTAGATCTTGTGGGTTCCTCTCTTGTTGGAGGCTCCCCAGCTTGCTTAAGCTGCAGAGGCCCGCCAGCTCAAATCGCGTGGAGGCTAACTTATCAGCACATTCGGCAGTCTATGCTCTCGTTGCCACCAGAGGCAGGCGCAGAAGCCCCCACGCATGTCCAACTGCTATGTACCTCTTTACCATGACGTTCGCAACCACAAGGCATTCAGCCTTTAAAATAAGGCCACTGGCTTAAGTCGCTCTAAGAGCGACGTATAGTCCCCCTTAAGTAGATAGAATAATTATGGATTTGGGTATATCATAAGAAGATCCCCATATACTCCATATTCTATCTACTTCAGGACTAAAACTTGTAAAGCTTACAGCCGCGCCAGGAAGGCTGTCAGCATACGTAGCTAAGTGCGGCTCAGGTGCCCGGGATACACTCAGGCTTGTGCGCGCCGAGGACTTGCCCTTGACTGCTGATTTTGTTTACAGAATCGTGAAGAAACACTAGCATGATTATGATCATCACGCATCTTGACTGTGCATAGGTGCTCCTCAAAACTTGCAGGAACTGCTGCCTCCAGCTTTATTGCTGAGTTACCACAGCCCCCCAACAAATTTCAACTGTTCATGCCGGCACAAAGAAGAAGCCCAGTAGATGTGATTGGAAAGAAACTGTACGAACAAGGTTCACGAACGTGCTTCCTGTGCTGTCCAGCAGCCATAGTTGCCGTTCCTTGGGTTGTAGGCCACGCCCTTCGCGAAGAAGCGCTTGCCGGTGACCGAATCGTAGAGCATGTTCCCCTTGATGACCACCTCAGCCGAGCTTTTAGAAGGCTTGTGGCCGCATCAGTTGCTGGATACGCACACACGGCCCACAGCAAAGCATGATGTCTTGTCGCTGAGCCACTGGGTGAATGTTTCCCGTGCCAGAGCCGTGACCAGATGAAGGAGTCTGATCTGAAGCCGGGCTAGGTTTCGGCAAAGTGCTGTGATTTGTGGTGGCGCTGTGATTCGTAGCTGCACTTTGGTTCGCAGGGGTGCTGGACACCGTGCTTTGATTGGTGGCTGCGCTGTGATTTGTGGCTGCGCTGGGCACCTTGCTTTGATTGGCGGTTGCGCTATGATTTGTGGCTGCGCTGTGGTTCGTGGCTGCGCTGTGGTTTGTCGCTGTGCTGGGCACCTTGCTTTGATTGGCAGTTGCACTGTGATTTGTGGCTGCGCTGTGGTTTGCAGCAGTGCTGGACACCGTGCTTTGATTGGTGGTCGCGCTGTGATTCGTGGCTGCGCTGTGGTTCGCAGCCGTGCTGGTGTTCCGAGCAGACGTGTTGGGTGCCACGTCTTGGTGCGCAACCGCAGCAGCTGCAGCCAACATCCTGGAGACTAGAACATGGGAGGTTTGCAGACACGCATGCCTGCCTCCAGCCGGTAAGGCGTATGAATGTACTATTGTCGCTGACTAGGTCGGGCTAGGCTATGCCATGACCAGAGAAGGCACTCCAAAGTCGTGATGCGGCCAACTTTTGAACTTTTGCATGCTAGACACAGCTGGGACATGTTCCCAGCTAGTCTTCCGTCCAAACCTTGCAGAAGAGGTTCCAGATAGCAGCCCACATAGCGCCCATCGCGAGCAAAAGAAACAGGAGCACAATCGCAAAGCCAAAAATGCTAGCCGGCAGCTGAACAGTGGCCCTGCTACATCCTCGGAACCTGACAATTTAGCGCAGGCAACCAGAATCAATGGAACTGAACTGAGCAAACCGCAAACGAGACAGGGTGCCTGTCCACAACACAGAAAAAGTTGCACAGCAATAAATTCACACCATGCTCACAGAACCATCTCCTGCATCTTGAAGTCGATGATGGCCAAAAGCACAGATCGATTGATCTCTTTACACAAGCGGCCTTTGAGGATCTGGGAAGCCCTTGCCGTCTTGAAGTCGCACTGCTACAGCACCGCTGAAGGTGACAACCCGACATAACCCAAGTCCCAGACTGAAAAAGGCAGTGGAAATGTCAAGCAAAATGAGCATGAGGTCTGCGCGGAAACTTGCATACTGAACCTTTTGTGCCCAACTGCTCGGAGTTCAGCTAATGAAAGCACTATGTACATGGGGCACGCAGCACGCTTTTTAGTGCCTAGTTAAGGGCAGCTATGCAAGCCCACTCTCAACCCGCATACCCTGCTTGTAGCCGGGCAGGCAAGCGGTCACCGCCTCGCGCGGCGTCGCCCCAGGTCACTAGGGAGCCATCAGCACGTGCGGCTGCAAATGCGCCAGAAGTAGCGTAAATTTCCTCCTAAGGAATTGGGTGTACTCAAACTTGTTTGGCTTGATCATGCTTGAGGTGCTTGGAAAGGCAGAATGCAAAGACCGCATATCACGTGGGCTTGTGTCATTTTCTTGCGTACCCTGTGACCTCCATCGAACATCTACACACGTGAAAGAATACAATCCCTATATAAGCACTTTATCATGTGTTCACTTTCCAGAGGTTCCCTTACAAATTCCCATAGCCCCAATATATACCCTATGACAATGCAGTAGTTTCCGTTTTCTTTTCCATCCTTCCTAATTATTAACCTTTACATATTCCTTTATTCCCTACTAGTCCTTTTCAACCCAGGACTCTCTCCGAACTGCTGGGGGCCACGCCGAAACCCTACTAATCCTGAACCCTAAACCCAATAAATGGGTGCGTGCGAAGAAGAAACCCCAATAAATACAATATATTCCCTCATTCCCTACTGCCACGGAACCACTTCGGTGAGCTGATGCTGCACGTGGCTGCTGTCACCTTTGCTGCGTGCCATTGCCTCGGCGCCTGCTCCTCTTCCGCGAACCGTAATCTAAATACTATGTAATAGTATAATAGGGTATGTTCTAATATACCAGAGTATAATAACCTCCTAAAAGGGGGTTGTATAGGGGAATATTATGGGGACTACTATAGAGCTATTACAGGGATATTAGGACTTTAGAATGTAGCTCAGTTGCCGTCTACAGACGCAGGTATGCATCATGGAGTTTCAGCTGAATCCAGACCCCCTGGCTGTCACCTACACCGGCTGCGGGCTGACAGAAAACGACCTGCCCTCATTACTATTATTGTTGTTGTTATTACTTTGTCATTAATATTATCATTATTATTGTTGTTGGTATTCTTGTTATTATTGTTGTTGTTATTGCTATTGGGATCCTCTTCATTCAACCTGCTCCTGTTCAAACACGCACATGGTCAAGCAAAGCCACCTCCACGTGCGTCACTGCCCCAAGTCACCACGCTGCCATCCCGTCCTTTGTCTTCCGAACTGCCAGCTGCAGCTGAGGCTTCAACACAAAAAAATGTTCTTACGCTACTACAATGATCACAAAATCTTAATCATCCAGGTATGGCGGCCCAACCGCGTCAAGCTTCGGATCGCGGCCATTGCGTACGCATTGGCGCACACCTGTTCGCAGGACTGGTGGCTTCACATCCCCAGCTGCAAGTACCAAAAGTTCTTGCCTGCACTTTGCAGCATCTACACCCTACCAGGCTCAGTCTCCCTCAAATCCTTTTGCCACGGCCACAAACTAAATTGGAAACCATGTAACGATCTGCAGGCTCTGCTGCAAGCCTTCTCAACATCTCGAAGCTGCTCCTGCACAGAGCTGCTGTCCCCGCCCCTCTCCTGATCACCCCATGTCACGACGCTTCCATCTCCGCCTCAGTGGATGCAAACACTTATCCAGCATGCCCCAGGTCTTAAAACACAGCAATCATGCTACCAAACTAAGCAAGAACCCAAAGAATCTTATCCCGTATACCACTTACACTTCGAATCAACGTGCAGCCACCTGCCCACCTGTTTGTGATGCCAACTACCACCAGCCACCACCTCGATCACGGAGAAAGAACTTTTCTACACCCTACACCAAAACTTCAAAACAACCGCATCATATTTGTGACCTGCTTCAAATGTTTTGGTCCATAGGAGCCACCACGGAAACAGGCTTTGCCCCACATACCTACACAGCAACATACGTATCGGCATAGCTGCACGGCCGCTTTCAGAACACAACTGCAGCACCATTGTGGCTAGTTGCGACTAGCTCGAAAATCTAAAGCTACTACTGCCCCTGCAAGAGCTAAAGGGTACCCATTCAGATGTCACGGATAATGCGCGGAAAGTGCAGGTGTGCCAGGTTGCGCCAAATTAACCACGCCCCTCTGCAACCAGAAGCAGGGCCGTTCAACCCCGGGATACATCACATCATTATCATTATTAGCACTATAATTGTCATTACTTGTTGTTAATATTGTTAATATTGTTGCTACTGTTATTAATAGCGTTCACAGCTGGCCGAGGTACGGAGTGCTACCCAGGCAAAGGAGTAGACTTCAATGGTCCGTATGTTTGTCAGCTTGTGCTGCAAGTCAGCAGTGTTGCCTCCAACATCTGGGCGGCCCCAAGTCACCACCTGTCTCTGTTTCAGGGCATTCAGGACTTGCAAAGCTAAAAAAGTTAGATTCTAGGCATGTCTTGGAGCCACATATCTACAGCAATGCCAATACCATCCAATACCTCTCTTTTGCCTGTTCTACTTGAGCACCAGAGGGACCACAGTTCTCCCTTCACTTGGATGTTAATTAATGTCTTTAGAGATGCAGCGCCAAAAGCAAAGCAAGGCATTCCAAAGGGACGCGGCTACTGGCTTGAAAGCGTAGTACTGGGTGGGCCAAGCCAAGTAATCAAGTAATAGTATATGATATGTCGGATGTCTGCTGAATCCCTTTAACTTGAAGTTCTGGACGACGTAGACCACCAAGTGACGGATCCATCTTCGCGGACCGCAGCAAATGCGAGGGCACGCCGTGAGCTGTAGACTTTCCGGACCTGACGTAGCTGCGGCGCGACAGTAGACTGGAGGATACTGGAGGAGACTGGGGGATGCAACACCAACGCACAAGACCCAAGGCCGAACAGCCTTTGCACTAGGTCACGAAAGGCATGCGGTGCAGCTGAGCTGCGAGAGTCAGGCGGTGCCGGACCGATGAGCTGTCACCTGCGAGGCGCAACTCAGTGACACTCGCTCTCAACCTCATGTAGGGATCATGAGCCCCGCCACAGCTATGGTTCCTATTGCTAGTGGCAGTAACTGGGTGTGTGATGCGGCACTGGTTGCGCAAGCCTCACGCATCCAAGGCCCACGAGTGAACAATCGTCACATCCGTGCAACAGTGAGATGCAGCCTCCAAAGTCCGGATCCCCCCACGTCACCACGCTGCCATCTTCTAAGCGCGCCGCGAAGGCGCTCGCGTTGGAAGATACTTCCTGGGAAGCATGTCTTCTCAGCTTGATGGACGAGGCTACAGCTGAGCGCAGCGTCTTCTGCCTGCCCGTCCCATCACTGTCTTGCCCCTGCCGTCCTGAACGACATGCCCATGCAAGGCAGATGCCGTGGAACTTGTGTCGCCCCCACGATGCGGGCAACCCCAGGCGAGCAATTTACCATCCTCTGTTTCTGCCACAAAGGCGAACTGGTTCGAGTGCAGGCGCTGCACCACGGCGTGCCTCGCACTCATTGCTTGCACGTATTGGCAAACTCTTCGGCTCAGGACATTCTGTCCCGGTCAAGTTGTGGAATGTCTTCTGCCGCACTTGCAACACTTGGACTTCTCGCATGTCAGTGCCTCCAAATAGCAAGGAACAACAAGTGGTTAAGTCCAATTCACCGCTCCAGCACTCAACCTTGTCTGACAAAGCTAACTGCTGGGAAAGGGCTCGAGCTCTTTTTCCCTGGCGCTGTTGTCACCACCATGCTCACGGTGACCCCATGTAACCACACGCCTCAGATCTGGACTCGTACCAGTTTGGCCCCATGTGCCAGCCAATGCTGGACAGAATACGTGGAGGGTTGTCGTGTTGACACCGCATGTCCGCCTTCCTCTTGGGCCCAAACCCATCACTCCGCAAGGCAGCGAAAGCGTGTGAGTTCGCACAGACCTGCTTCACCTGGGCTTAGACAGCTGACACTTTAGACAAAGCCTGCCCTGGGACCTGGACCACGTGTCTGCCACATAAGCTCTTAAATTGCAACAGCGAGGGCGCACTGGAGCAAGCTCTAAGTTCACAAGGTTACTTCTGGCCGCGATGAGTTGCCGTAAGCGCATGCGAGAAGCCCCAACCAGCTGTTCACGCACGGAACTTGAGTCGCCACCCATCTGCGGGTGGCCCCAGGTGATGACCGTGCCGTCGCGCCGTACAGCTGCAAAGGCATGCCTAGAATTGAGAAAATATCACGTTGGCAATGCTATGGGAGGCAAGCTTATGCTGCTGGCTGCCCTTCCCCGCTAATTGCGCACTCGTGACATGGATGAAGCGCTGGGTCTAGCTTTAAGGAAAGCCGTAGTCTTGCGCAACCGTATCTGCACGCGCAAGGGCCCATAGAATGCTGGGCTTCCTGTGCAGGCAATCTGATGCACACGAGCCACGCAGAAGCGCACACATAGTCCACGTTGCAAAGGTCTCCCTTCACCACGCTGCTATCACCTGCCAATTAATGGTGGATATCAGGCTTCTCACAGAGCTTCAGGACCCCCCAACCTTGCTTTCAAGATAACTATTACCGAAACCATATGTCTCTTGCTCATGTGTCACGAGGTTAAGTCTGAGCACTGACATGCGGACTCGTTGCCGCCCCGCCCAGAATCGCCCCAAGTGACCACAGAGCCATCCCTGCGAACTGCCGCAAACCTGAAGCAAAGCAAAGTCTAACGGCGGACTGCGTCAACTTAGACACAGCTTGATAAGAATCACTGGCAGCCAAACACACAGGGACAAGAGTTTTTCCCAAAACTCAATAAGCAAAGCCACGCATGCTTGCAGGCCAAAGGGGCGCGAATGAGTGCGTGCTTAATTGAAGGACTCCCATGAGATCATCCTGAACAGCGGAACCTGAGTCATAGCATGTTTCCGCCAAGCCCTCTGCATATCGCAAGCTGGCTCTGTTGGCTCTGGTGTGCGGAGGTCTGATAGCAGCACATCTCTCTCCCTCAAGGTCACTCGTAGTTTTACAGCACTTGTAACTTGTACAAGTGTCATTGCTATTGCAATTCCTATGACTCCTAGCTACTCTTGCCATAACTTTCACTATTATACTATTACCGGTGCTACTGGCTTTGCTACTGACATTGCTAACTACTGCCATCTACCGGCATCTATTGCTATCCATTGCTATCTACTACTCGCAAGGTCAGGGAGCAGTCGCCACCCCGCTGTGGGTGGCCCCAAGCCCAAGCTTCACCGGTGTCCGAAACCACCCCAAAGGCTGCACAGCCAGCATGAAGCTCGGGCACACGGCTTAGGAGGGTCGTTACCTCAGCAAAAACTGGATGGGCTATACAGCCAAAAGACGAAGCAACTCCAGTGAGCAGCCTTGATCAACAAATCAGTAGTGACCATAGTCCCCCTTAAGTAGATAGAATATGGGGTATATGGGGATTTTTTTATAGCATACCCAAAGCCATATTCTATCCACTTAAAGGGGACTATATCTTTATGCCTGGCGGCAGCATCACCGTCATGGAGAGACCTTGGTTTGCACGTTGCTGGTTCGTGCAAGCCAGGTCAGACTGCCCATAAAAACAAAAACAAAAGCACGCAAAATCTTCCTGGAAGCTGCCGGTGAACTCGTGGATCTTGCTTTGTGGCTGGAGAACTTCACCCTTGTGGGTCACCAGCCCCTTCAGGGCTCTCTCCTACTGCTTCCTGCCACACCTGCTACACTGCCTGCTGCTGCCGACAAGTGTTCAGGTTGTGACACACACTCCTGGTCGATCGGACTGAAAGATGCACTAAACCGGCACAGGATGGCAAAGGAAGCTTTTCGTCACAACTTGTTTCCCACTTCTCGCCTGCAGTCGCGCTCCAAGGGCCGCACCTGCCTCCTGCTGCAAGACCCTCACAGTATCCTCAGGGTCCACCTGCAATGAAGGTCACCACGGTTCAGGTTCTACTCTTGACAAATCTGGCCAACCCGCAAGTCTTCGCTCCAAAGTCGTGCCAGTTTTGACGCACTCCGTCAACGCATCAACGAATACTGGCCCTGCCGCTACACACAAAATAATTACACAGAATGAAACGTAGAACCGAAAAAATGCTTCCAGGGTGCGCACATGAAACAGAAACTTCAAACATCCCTTGCCAAAGCCTCAAGCTCGAGCTGCCCGCCACTCAGCAGCCCCACCGACACGCGAATCGTCATGGCAGGAAGGGAAAGCGGGGACTCTGTCAAATTGTGTCCGAGGCACTCTCTGGGTTTCTGACGGCCAGATATGGCCAGATCGCACATCGGATTTGATGCCGAGGTATGCTTACGTCAACCACACGTGCAGGCATGTTGCTGTGCCCGCTTTGCTGCCACCTAGTGCTTCATGGGGCATATGCAGAACAAGGATACCCCTGGCGCAGGCAGTGGTCCAAGGTCCGTCTGTAAGACATGCATGATGCACAGAGAACCGGCGCAAGGCAAATCTTACAGGCTTCAGCAGTCACCTCTTGACAGCTAAGCTCCAAATCCCCACAGCAGCTCCTCGAAGTGCCAACTCCTCCCGACCTTAGCGAAACAACGAAGTGGTCGAGCACGGACATCCAACCCACTCTGACAGTGGCAACCAATTCTGCGGAATGGCATCAGCTTGCGCATGTCTTGTTTTCCCGAGTTGGGACCCTACGGGTAGCGCATGAGGCGGAAAACTGCCCGGACAACAGGCAGAAGCCAGAACTACAACAGCTCATACAAGTCCTGCTGTCGTCTGCCTGTTGAAAACTCATTGGATTTGCAGAAGCTGCATTGCATTGGGCTAGGCAGGATTCGAGAGCATGAACCGTACCAACGTGCATTTGCACCCAGAGGGCCGTCCTAGAAGACTGCCACACCCCTGTGAAAGAAGCTATCCATGCTACACCAGAAGCTTCCCTTCGGGAGATCCAGAGCGCGGCATGACATTGTACATGTTCTTGCAGCGGCTCCCAGTTGGACACCCTGAACTAAATGTGCATGGAATAGATGCTGAAACCAGGAACTGGACGGAATACTTCCCACTGGATCACTCACACGATATGATGCTAGCGCACAACCACCATTCTTATGACAAGTAAATCCTCAAGAAACTCCAAGCCTTCCTGGCTCACTCCTCTCTCGCCGGAGACTGGGAAGGCTCGGCATCCCTGGTCGGTCCTGGGAAGGAGCCGCAACTCCTACTGTGGTGGTGGCAGCGGCGGTACTGATACTGGTCCTGGTCCTGGTCGTCGTCGTCTTCTTCTTCGGTGTCATCTTCGTCGTCGAAGCCGTTGTAGTACGAACATTACTTTTGATAATATAATAGCAGCAGCAGCAGCAGCAGCAGCGGAACATCAAGTACAGCACTTGTAGCTGCTCTTGTAGGAGCCATGAAAGTGGTTCTTGTTGTGGCTGCTAGTTTAAAACAGTTTTGAGCCGTTGCACCATGAAATGATAGACGATTCCTTCCATGATGCTGTACTGCAAAATAATATGAGCCATTGTCTAAACTCCTTGTATCCCCCTTAACAACAGCTGTAATAATCCTCTATAGCATCCTCTATAAAACGTCCTTTCAGAACTTTAGATTAATTATAGCTCATATGCAGAGTATGCATAACGCACAGAGGTGCTCCAATACTGATACCGACTGCCGTCCATCTGCTTCCCACACTGGTACCCGCAATTTTTCTCCGCAGAATGCGATCTCAGAGTGCAACGCTCCGTTGCTTATGGGCGACGGCAAATGCATGTCCCGGATGGCGCAACCTCTGCTGTCCAAGGCTGACCATCTCCTTGAGAAGATCCCGCGAACAGTAGCTGAACTACCCTAGGACCCTCTGCACACTCCTTACCTTCCACACCAGACAAGTCGACATACTCCAGCGCTTCGGGAGGCGGCACTTGCAGCCCTTGCAGGCTCAAGCAGTTCCAGCTCAAGTTCGCACGGCGTAGCTTTGGCAGTACAAAGATTTCAGCGACATCTCCCCGGATTTGATTTTTGGACAGGGAAACCTCTTCCAGGCTTATTAGTCCCAAGACAGAACCAAACTCGCTTAAGCGGTTGCTGTCCATGTTCAAGATTCGGACTCCAAATGCGAAGGTAGCAATCGCCGGAGCCAAATGACGCAGGGCGAGGCTGCTCAAGTCCAAAGCGTTTGAGTACGCATCCTTTGCTAGCCATGCCTGAATCTTCTGTCGAGCTCGGGCCAAGGCCGCTGCATCAGAATAGAAATTCTTGCGGAGGGGGTCAAGCGCACTGATCCGCGCTGCGCTCTCAGCAACTGTGCCCTGAACAGACTCCTGCTGGTCTGCACTACAGCCAGATGCAAGGCCTTGCTGCAAGCGGCCCTCGGCTAACAGTGCCCACCTGCAGTCTGGCTCAATCTCCAGTAGCTCCTTGATTCTCTCAAGCTCAGCTTGAAAGACATCCCTCCTCTGCTCCTCAAGCTTCTGCCCTAGAAATGCCTCTAACACGGAAGCATCAGACTTTGCAGAAAGGTCTATCAAGGGCCCATGAAA